TGGTTGGTTGGTTGGTTGGTTGTTTAATGCAGCACTCAGCAATATTGCATATTTTCCTCACATACCTTAAACCAATACTCTTAAATCACTTCATCAATAGGCAAAACAATAACAAAATAATCATCCAATGTATTTACCCTGTAACAGTTATGTAAACGAACCATCCTTGAGTAAATGAGTTGCCCTTCGAAACATTTCATTCTAAAGTTCAACTATTTTGATATGTTCAAGACTCAGGAAGTGAAAGCACTCTGGTGCAGTCACATGACCTCACAGTCTGCCAATAGTAGTGCCAATGTTTAGGAATTTTCTTTTAATTGTCACATTCTGCACTGTATACATTACAGCATTTAATTAGCATAATGTAGGAATAGCAACAGTATTTCACAGTAAATCTGTGTTTGAACCTACCCACTAGTTACACTTCAGAAACAAGTGAGGTCAGAAGCATCTTCCCGAGGCAAGGGAGTTAACTGAATTCAAAAGCACACTTTCCACCCTTTCCAAGGCTGGAATTTCTGGGCCTCCCTCCTACATCCCTCCTATTGACCAATCAGATTCCACCTCTCATATCACTTGCATTTGCTTCAAACAAAATGGCGGCACCCAGTCAAGACGATCTGATTGATAATCAAAATCTTTTTTAATAATTAAACAGGTCCTATTTCGCGAAGTGCATCAAATCACGTGAGCACCTTCATCAAAAACATTAAAAGATTTGGAATATATATTTTAACGCTAAATTTATGGTACACATGCTTTGCAAATCCTGCAATCGACCAAAATCTGCACAGCAGTTTACGGACCTGATGTTGATTTTGTTACGACATGTTGATTGAACTATGCATAGACTCGTAAGTCCAGCCAAAATCTAACTCCATAATACCAGCCTAGTTCGGCAAGGGTGGAAACTGGACTTTTATAGTCAATTAACTCCCTTGCCTCCGGAAGATGTGTCAAAATGTGAAGCCACATGTTTGGCAGGAATACAATCATTGTGTATTTCATCAAGCAAAGCAACGAGAAAACACACAGCTCTCTTCGTCTGTAGATGGTTGGAGGCAAAAAAAATAATGAGGCGGAATGGGGTTTTTGGTAGTGAGATGGACGGGGATGAAAATTTATAATTACTTCCTTGGCTTACATTTAAATCTGAATGCAGGATCCTAAATTTATGTCATGGTTGATGCCCATCATAATGTGGTGACTTTTAATACTTGGACCTCAGCAGCAAAAGAAATTTTATAAAAGTATGTTTTTGAACATGCAATGAAACATGCAATGACCCATGTGAACAATGATGTTTGCCCCCTAATTCAAGGAAAAACTAAAATAAAATCAGTAACTCTTTTACTTTTGAATTAAATTGCATCAACAAGACTAAAATCACATGAAAATGTTGCAACCGATTATTGCTTTACCAAATATCACATATCTGCTATTCAAAAATAAAATCTATACAAATATTTCGTGCCGAGATATAATCTACAGGCACAAAGTTTGCCCGACACTCAGAAGAACCATTCCTTAATTATTTGAAATATTCTGATACTTCATGACAATTGCTTGGACTATACTGTAATTTTATTTTTTTAGAAAAAGTGATTTTTTGACAATTTGTGGTATGTTGTCAGTGACGATCAAAGTTGCACAGAGTAATAAAAATGTGAAACTTGATGTCCACTCACTCTGGGACACAAAGTACATGAACAGACAGTCTGATGTTAGAACCACACCCCAAACAATGTGTGATTTCTATTTCAGCCCATCCAAAAATATAGTAGGTGGGTGAGGTTTTTGGTAAGTTATTAATACTTGTATCTCTTTAATAAACAGTAGTTTGCCAGTAAGTCAGTGAAAGCCTTCTGTCAAATGAAGAAAATGACAAATCATAATACTGACATTATCAGAATGGTTATAAAACGCAAATACACATTTATTTCTAAACAAGTTTCATAAGTTTTGACCAATATTTCATTAGCTGACCGACTTAACATTTTTAGTGACTTAAAATATTCACTTATATTCACCACAAAATATACTCAGAACAGAATTCGAAATGTTCAGCTGATGACTAAGATATGGTTGATCAAATTACAAAGACTGCAGACTGTGAACTTTGGCCAAGTGATAAATCAACATAGAAACAACATTTTGGGGACAATGCAATGTATATAAATGGAACATCCTTTTCTCAAAAATAAAATCAACAAAGAGTATGCTACAAAATTGTTGGTACTGTCAAGACCTTGAAAAACTGAAATTGAACACATGGCTCAACATACAAGATAACTATTTCAAACTTAGGCACCAAATTTAAAATAAAAATGCATGAATGAATGCTTATTCAGCGCTGTATCAGAGTAACTGTAACAAGATAGTGCATCCCTATGACCTACACATGACAAGGAGACAGGATCTTAATAGTGAGTGAGTGAGTGAATTGGGTTTAACGACGCTTTTAACAGTATTCCAGTTATATCGCGGCGTGTCAGCTTAATGTGGGAGGAAAGCCCGAAGTGATGCAGGTCTCAGACGTTGACCACTTCGGTGAAACCCACGAGCACGGGTATGGTACTGACAAACCTAGAAACATAATCGGGGTGAACCGGGATTCGAACCCACAATCATAGGTTTCTGGCGTGCCCAAGGGATGCAACTCTGCATAGCGAATCGCGGCGCCTTAGACGACTGGGCCACCCGTGCCCCCCAGGATCTTAATAAAACAGGGATGCACATAACACCCGAGGACGCAGCTAACATATTAGGTATCTGACAAGAAATGGGTGCATACCCCCGACAACCTCCCTCTGGATCCATCAATGACAATTGTTCACTTTCCTGGATAACCAAGGTACACATTTGTCTACGCTGCTCTGACACAGGCATGTTCTGAGAAGTTAATCCTAAAAGAAAAAGTCTCTGTGTTTGATTTTCATCATCACACCCGTCCAACACCCTGTAATCCTCCTCCACCAAAGAAAAGGACGAGACTTGGGTCCAATGGCTGTCCAAGCTTTGATTGAAGTTACTCACAATTCCCCTGTAAACTCATGTTGTGATGTATCGCAATCTGGGAGACGGTGATTACCCTAATCGCACACATAAACTGTCTCAGTTTGACACACGTCACTAATTGTTACATCTGGACACAAACCCAAATGGGCATCAGATCGTGAAGATGTCCCTTTAATAGAAATCATAAATATTTTTCAAATGTCTTTAAGCAAAATCCCTAACGTCAGATCGTGAAGATGTCCCTTTAATAGAAATCATAAATATTTTTCAAATGTCTTTAAGCAAAATCCCTAACGTCAGATCGTGAAGATGTCCCTTTAATAGAAATCATAAATATTTTTCAAATGTCTTACAGCAAAATCCCTAACGTCAGATCGTGAAGATGTCCCTTTAATAGAAATCATAAATATTTTTCAAATGTCTTTAAGCAAAATCCCTCACATCAGATCGTGAAGATGTACCTGAAAAAAATGCCTCACTCAAAGCAGTTTCCATAGGGAGAGGAGACTTTGACTTGTAACTATAAACTACTTATAGCGGATTCCAAATAGCCAGGAACATCAGTCTACTCCCCTGCAAAATGAGACATCTGAGAATGGTGTGGATATAAATATCAAGGTTATCCCAAGATAAGGATGCTTAACATGTGATCAGCAACATCAACAGCTCACTACTGCAGCAACTACAGGGACATTATCCCGAATGGAAGATCTTGATAAATGCTGATTCGTAATGTATATTTTGATTAGCAATTGGAGTGTGTAAAATACACTGTAAACACATGGCCTGTAGGCATGGTAGGAAACGTCTTGTAAACGGTGATAAATACTACCAGAATATGTGAAAGAGTGCTGTGAAAAGATAACTGACACATCAGTAAAATGTTCAAACTGTCTGAAACTTGAAATACAGCTAAGATATTCTGAATACCGTTTTTGACGTAATAAGCGCCCAGGGCGCTCTCAAAATTAGTATATTATTATGGTGAAAAAAAAGGTGAGTTGAAAGATATATTTCGTGGTTTATGTTGACAGCCTGAAATGTTTATGTACGACAGATATATTTTTCCAGAATTTAATTGCCCATGATTAAGGGTGCATATAACACACGAGTGTGTATTATATGCGAATAAATAAGTATTGTGTACATTAATCAATCGGAAGGGGTGCTACATGGGATTGTTCACTAGCCAATATTTTAGCAAATATCGCCATAGGCGCTTATTAGAGCGGGGCGCTTATTAGAGCGGGGCGCTTATGACGTCGAATACGGTAATTAGTATACTACTCCACTTTTGATAGGGATACTCTTTATTTCCATGATACACGAAACAGATTCTATGGTCAAGTGTATATCAAATAGATTGACATGTGATTTTTCCCTATCAAAAGCTGACTGGTATAATTACAATAGTAACATAAGGAAAACAGGGCACAGTATTATTTTGTGAATTTGGACAATATTTGAAAAAAAAAACCTCAAATAGGCGACACCCTAAATAAGAACAATCATGTTTTCATAACAGTCAAAAATGTTTGGTCTTGTCCTGGTATCATAAACTTTCCTTCTGACTCACTGGACAGAACCGTATCAGAAACCATGGTGACATAGTTTATGTAAGGAAAGAGAACTCTTATTTTAGGGTCCAGACAAAACAATCTTGACGCTGATAGATATGAAATAAAATAAAATAAGTCATTTTGACTACGGTGGAGAAACATATTTTTCATAACCCAAAGGTTTGCATGTAATGATAATGTTTTGCCTTTTGCCTCAACCCACCTTTCTCCGTAATGTTTGCACGAGTGAGTGAGTGAGTTGGGTTTAACGCCGCTTTTAACAGTATTACAGTTATATCGCGGCGTGTCAGCTTAATGTGGGAGGAAAGCCCGAAGTGATGCAGGTCTCAGATGTTTACCACTTCGGTGAAACCCACAAGCACAGGTATGGTGCTGACAAACCTAGAAACATAATCAGGGCGAACCGGGATTCCAGCCCACAATCATAGGTTTCTGGCGTGCCCAAGGGACGCAACTCTGCACAGCAAACGCTTCTGAGACGACTGGGTCACCTGTGCCCCTACACATTTGCTAAGGACCAAAATAGGTGTGGTCCTCAGCAAATGATGTGTGGTATATATATCACCAGCAATCCCCAATTCATACATATTATCGATTCCCTTAAGTACTGAGACCTATGTTTATCACATCCTCAACTTAATTTTATATAATTCTATGATGAAGAATTCTTTGCACAAGGTTGTCACAATAACTGATGTCTCAGTGATGTCTCAACTTCTCTTGCTTGAAATCAATGACCATTTAAACTGGCATAGATCTACATTCAAAATACAAGCTAAATATACTACACATAAGAAGTTAAGGACCATCCAATTCTTTCATATTGCTATAGTTAATGTCATGGTATAACAGAATAACTAGGGTAATATGAAAGAATCAGGTGGTCCTGTACTTTGTTTTAAGTGGTATACGTAAAGCAAAAGGAGTTTAAGAACACAATGAATAAGAGGGTTATAAATTAACTTTTGCCCAATGCTAACAGTTGTTCTCAGATGAGTGAGTGACTGAGTGAGTATGGTTTTACGCCGCTTTTAGCAATATTCCAGAAATATCACGGCGGGGGACACCAGAAATGGGCTTCACACATTGTACCCATGTCGGGAATCGAACCCGGGTCTTCGACGAGACAAGTGAACGCTACCCGACCGCCCTGTTCTCAGATGAAACGCAAGACATGTCCAGAGCTTTCAGAGATGTCATCACTTGTTCTAATTATTAAACATGTTAAGGAAAGGACTGTTTGATCAGATGATTATATTTAGCCTTGTATCAATCAAACATGACTCGACACAAAGCTATGAACTATGGAGTCCAAGTACCAGCAGAAAAACAGTTTCACAGTCTATCTATATTTTCTAAGGATTGTCATTAAACTTTGCACAGAATAAATTCAAAAACAGTTGGAATGACCTTTGGTCCACACATATTCTGTATAACTAGCACTTCTTGACTTGACAAACAACATTACAAATTCGGAAACGTGTCATGTATTAAATATATGGCAAACCAGACACAAACACATATTGCAAAAGACGTTGATGAAAGAGAGATTACTGAATGCAATATGGCCACTACCTCCTATAGCAATCGGAACCCTTGTGACTGCATACAATATGGCACACGAGTAATTGGAATGAGATTACACTTGAGAGCCTGTGAAAGAACTATGAGAGATAATAGTATTGCATCGCCATGCTATAGTTGCCCTACCCTAACGTACCTTGTTACACACCTGACGAGGAATCTCAAATTGACAGGCATCTATTGTCAGTACTTCATGTTTCTATACACTATGTCTCTCCATCTTTCATGAATACAGCCGATATGCGATGTAGTCGATGTTTGTTTCGAACGTATCAAAAAAAGCCTGGTTCCAACGTGTGAGAAACCAGCAAGTACTCCGACCAATGAGCACCGAGCTAACATCACACTGTTTTGCTTGACAACGTATGCAAATTGTGCCATAGCCCTGTGGCTGCCTTCTCATTACACTGCCTTAATGTTAGGCAATGGTAGGGTTCACACAAAGTCCTTACAGGAGTAGGACTTGTTTAACTTCCATGAGTTATAAACTGTCCATTTTCATTAGCTTTGTAAAAATAGACACGCAACATTCCTACATCGCATGTCAGCTGTATGCTTTCACGGGTCAAAACTGAAATATTGACAACAGCCTGGCATCTGTAGCACATAACCTGCACCACATGCAAGCCCCTTGCATCTCGCTCAATTGACACTCAACCATAGACTCTTGACACGGAAAAAGAATACAGTGCATATTGTGTCTCAAGTATGCTGTCAAACTTCAACTTCTTTACAACACTACAGGGGTAAAAACCATGAGCTTAATCAAACTAGTCCACAACTCATTTCGAAATAACCATGTTAACATATAATTTTGGCAGCTTCAAGATTTGCACCAGTCGCAAAAACTAACCGACTTGAAGCCCTGTCTAACCCTGTACTCTCTTCACGGTCTTATCAAACATGTCAAATATGTATAAATATTACATTGATGCACAGCAGAGTAAAATCATTTCATGTCAAATTTGCAAGTCACGGAAGGCATGATGGATATCCTTTCGACAGACAAGTGCATAGACCAAAGTTACTTGTGGGACTAGTTCCTTAATATTGCATGCCTATATGTATATGTAATGCCAACGTCTCAATACAACCCGACAAGCTTTGGAAGATAAAAAAACATGTAGACGTCACGATGATTCAATGATTCAATATAATTCTAACATGGAACTATAAAATGTCAAAGGTATCAGTGGTTGTTCAGAATGTTCATAAACCACCCATGCTTGAAAAGGGTCAGCTCATTTTATCTTGAGGGGGTGGTGTAATATTGCTCGCATGTTTAAACCCCACAAAAGAAGAAATTATCCATGTACTGTGATTGTACAAAATGACCAAAATGCATGCTGTGAGATAGACCAAACATGTAAACAAAATGCATGTTGTAAGATAGATCACATACATAGTTTTTGATGAACAAAAATCTCAAGCCCCCATGAAGATAAAATCGCACAACCGTTATCCAAGCACAGTTTTCATATCAAAGTGCTCATGTTTGCTTCCCATGGAAACCAGTTACTGGATGAATATTGATGGAATGAACTGCCCAGATTTAACAAGGTTTCACAGTAATTCTATTTCGAAACATGTTCCTCACCATCTCCATGGTGACCTTGAGTGAGTGAGTGAGTGTGGTCAAGCAGTCGTCTTACACAGCTATAGCAATATTCACAGATTACTCACATAGGATTCAAACCTAGATCTTTGGAAGGACACTCTAACCATTAGGCTACGCCACCCCCCCACACAGCCCCTGGACTATTACTGACATTCTGTAGACTACCATGCAAACCCATCATGTACTCATTCGACTGGCGGAACTCTCTCTTCCATCTGTAGAAGGTCCTCAAGGAGATGGTGGGGTAGTGACTACAGAACTCCAGAAAGTCCATGTTGGGGTTCTGTTGGAGGAAGAGGTACTCCTCTCGACTTTGCTTCCTCGCCCGGGGTGAAAAGAAAGACTCTTCTTTAACCATCTGGGATGACAGAGCCCCGGAGTCGAGATAGGATGGAGGAATGCTGGTTGGCACGGAAGACATTCCTGGAAATGTTATCCCCCCTAAGTTGGAGCTTGAGGGTTGAGGTGCTGTGGCGGGGAAAGAGTCCAGCTTTGGGTGGCTGTTGGTTTCGTTGAAAGACTCCTCTTGTTTTATTGCCAGATATTGACTTTGGGCAGAGTCAGGAGCTGTAGGTGAAGCACTAGACTGAGCTGAAGACATTCCCGGGAAAGCTACTCCTCCCAGACCTGAAGATCCCGCATGAGCTGCTACAGGGGAAGTGGCTCGCTGCTCGCTGATTTCATCCACAGCTTGATCTAAAGGAGGAAGACCTGCTGATCGGCAGATGCTCTCCACAGCTGCACTGAGAGATTCGGAGGAGCTCAAGGAACTCACAATCCCTGGAGGATCAGGACTGTCTGTTGAAAACATGGCATGATCAGGAATGTCTAATGCTTTATTTGGTGGAAGAACTGGATCATTAAACATCTGCAGAGACTGTCCATCATTTGCTTCATTGTCTGAGTCGGGAGAGGAAGCGGCAACCTCTATCTGATTAGAAGTATTCTCGGGATCATGATATTGCAGTTGCCTCTTGAGAGATTCTGAACTCATTTCCACCTTCCTGTTTTGTTCGGCAGAGAGCTCTTTCCACCTGTTGAACACTTCCTCGGGGACTACAGTGAACACCTGACAGAATGCTTTGTAACTGACATCGGGGTGCTGCTCTAGGTACTCCAGGCTCTCGCGAATTTCTCTCCTCCATCGATAGAAAGTCCGAAGAGAGATGAGAGGGAACGTTATAGCAAATTCATTGTAATCCATGTACGGATTCATCAGAAAGAACAGATATTCAGTCTGATTGACCTTCCTGGTCTTGGTGAGGACCCAGTCCTCGGGTGAGTTCCCATTGTTCCAATCTGCTTTACACTGTTCATCTGTGGGCTCTTCTTTTTTCTGAATAAGGGTCTTCCATTTCGTGAAGACGGTTTCAGGCACCTCTCTACAGTAGAAAGAAAAGGTCTTGTAATCAATGTCAGTACTAACCTTCAGCAAACTGAACCAGTCTCTCACAAGCTTCTTCCACCGGCTGAACATCCCTGCTGGAACAGCTGGATAGAGCTTACTGAACTCCACTATACTGATCAGTGGGTTCTCCAGGAGGTACAAGAACCCTGGTTCTCTATGATAACCCTGTTTGGTGGCATATGTCTCACCATCATTCACCAGCGCCTGAAGACTTCGGATAGGGTTCTGTTCCTGACTGCCAGAACCTTCTTGAGGAGTCTTCAATTTGTCCTTCCACTCATTGAACATTTCTTGGGACACTTCGGGGAGCTCTGACACAATATCTTGGTACGATGCATCAGGATGTGCAGAGATGAATTCGATGATGGATTTGATTTCTCTCCTCCAGCGATAGAATGTTCCTGTAGGCATGTCTGGGAACAATCGCAAGAAGCCTTGAAGATCAATATCCGGGTTCTTTTGAAGGAAGCAGTATTCTTGACGACTAGCTTTCATCAGTGCTTTTCCACTGACTCTGGAGTTGCTGAAGGTACTAGTAAAATTATCACAGCTAGTTGGACTATTATTGCTTTGGGTGGCACACTGTTCATCACTGGACAACAGCTTCACTTTCTTTGTTTGATTAAGGAGTGTTTGAACAATGTGATTGTCATCTTTGGATAATTTCTCAATTTGAGAACTGAGATTCACAGATTCATCCTCACAGCCATTCATAAGTTCTTTTTCAGATAGCACAACCTCCCTCCATTTGGATACAACTTTTTCAGACACCTTTGGGTATGTTTTGTGAAAGTCCTCAAAAGATATGTTGGGATCGCCACGGAGGACATTGATCTGGTCCTGTATCTCTCTCCTCCACCTATAAAATGTCCTCACAGATGTGTTGGGGAATTGATATGTAAACCCTGCAAAGTCTATGCTTGGATGCAGCTGCAGATAGAGAAATTCATGCTCATTAATTTTTCGAGAGCTCTTCTCTTCTCTATCAATGTTCAGGTTCTCGTCTCGAGGTTCATCATCATAGTCATCTCTGTCACTGTCTACAACTAACCTCTCAGTGGCAGCATGATCTGCTGACTCAGACTGCAGAGATCGTGGAGATTCTTGTCCATGGGCACTCAGAGATCCTGCTCTTTTCTTCCACTGATGGTTCTTTGAAAGAAATCCAGAATCGGTGTCATCGAAATCAGAATGACTTATTTTGTTCGGAAGAGATGTTAGATTCTTTTCAGAAGAATTATCACTTGTGCTACCATTTTTAGAGCTTTCAGTATGACGGGTATCGGACATTGGTAGCTGAGAAAGCTGACTAGAATCCATACGTGCTAGGCCGGAGAGATTCAGGGCAGTTCCCCAGAAACCAGGATAGTCTCCCAACCAGCTCCCACCGATTCCTGGCCATGAACCAGGACTGGTTGAGAACCTACTCTGCTCCTGGGCTAGTCTCTGTGACATCATTGATGTCCACAAAACCTTCTGGGCCTCCTGAATGTGCTCAGCGGTAGACACAGCCTCTCGCTGCAGGTTCAAGATTTTGTTCCTGTTTTCCCTCAGCACATTCTCCCTCCAAATATTGAACACTTCTTCAGCCACTGTAGGAAAACATCTTGCAAACAGTGCATAGTCAATGGAAAAATTCTGTTCTAGGAACTTCCATGCTTGGAGATTCTGTTGCTTCCAGATCTTAAACACATGCTTGGGGAAATTGGGAAAATGTTTAGCAACTTCTGAATATTCTGCAGCAAGATTTTTCTGCATAAATTTGAGTACTTTATGTCCGTTGTTTTCTTCATCCCACTGTTGTTGGTTTGGCACAGGGCTGGACTTTCTACTGTCCAAGTCAGTCTTTAAGGATATCGATGTCATGTGATTGGCGGAACCGGTTCCAAAGAGGTAGCCCTTCTGCATCAATGATTTCCAGAAACTAAATACATTTTCTTTGGCATGGGGGATATATTGGATATATTCTTGATATGTCATGTCTGGATGCTGTTCCAGGAAGATGTACTCATCCTTGATCCGTCTCTTCCAGCGATAGAATGTCCGCTGTAGCACCGTGGGACAATGGCGCAAGAACTCGGCATAGTCTGTGAAGGGAGTCATCTCCAAGACCTCATACTCCTCCTTGTGAAACACCTCCTTCTTGTGGCTGTTTAGCACTGGTTCCAACGAGGCAAACTTCCTCTTCTTGCCACTCAGACTGTTATCAGGAGTGTTTGCCGGGGACCGACTGTCCAGACGAGGATGCACATGGTCAGAAGGGTTGGGCTGAAACATAAAGTTTGGATGAGTTGGAGGAGTAGTGTTTTATTTTTTTGGTGCGTTGCCCGAATCAGCAATATTCAAGCTCGATCAGGATAGCATGCGTAAAGTGAGTTTGGTTTAATGCATCTTTGAACAGTATTGCAGTATATCACAGCATGGATTAACACAACTCATCTTAATGTGAGAGGACAGCAATGCAAGTCTCAGACGTTTACAACTTTGATGAAACCAGTATGGGTATGGTATAGACAAACTTAGAAACATATTTGGGGCGAACCAGAATTCAAAACCACCATCACGTTTCTGACACGCCAAAGAAACACAACTCTGCACAGCGAATCGTGGCGCCTTGGACGACTTGGCCACATGTTTCGTAAGGCTAGTAAGTTGGTTTGTTTGTTGTTTAACGCCGCACTCAGCAATATTCCAGCATTTGGCGGCGTTCTGTAAATAATCAAGTTTGGACATGATCATCGATCTACACAATTGGGATAAAATGACATGTATTAACCAAGTCAGCAAGTCTGACACACACCCCTCCGTCAGTTGGCTCTTATGGCTAGCATCAGTTGCTGAAGTTTGTAAGTAAGTAGGTTTGAATTTACACTGAATGAACAAAGTCATCATAATTTCTGACATAACATGTGTCAAAAAGACTTAGTGTCTCTACTAGACAAGAGTTATCTCCCCTTATCGGATGCTCAGGTCCTCCGCGTCGGAACAAGTTCTCCCGAATGAAACTGTCCTTGAGCAAAACCATCAGAGCCCTAGTCAAGGGTGTCTGTACTGGCCAGCCAGTCCACTTATATATATGACAACTGGACAGACAGCTGCACTCAGTGAGGATGGCTTTAAAGAGTTGTACCTGTGGATGATCTGCTGGCTCCTGCTTGACTACAAGGTCGATGGGACTGGTCTGGTGGTCTGTCTGAGAGGGCAGGATTTTGGCCGCAGCAGTGGAAGAGAGAATCTGGGAAAATCTGCAAAAGACATAACATGGTAATCACAGCGGAGAGTGACATTGTGCTCAACTGGTCCCAGGGAAAATAGAAACCCCTGTGTGAGTGAGTGAGTGAGTGAGTGAGTGAGTGAGTGAGTGAGTGAGTGAGTGAGTGAGTGAGTGAGTGAGTGAGTATGGTTTTACGCCGCTTTTAGCAATATTCCAGCAATATCACAACGGGGGACACTAGAAATGATATTCACACATTGTATACCCATGTCGGGAATCAAACCCAGGTCTCTGGCGTGACAATGCTTTAACCACTAGTGAGTGAGTTGGGTTTAACGCCGCTTTAAACAGTATTCCAGTTATATCGCGGCATGTCAGCTTAATGTGGGAGGAAAGCCCGAAGTGTTGCAGGTCTCAGATGTTTACCACTTCGGTGAAACCCACGAGTACGGGTATGGTGCTGACAAACCTAGAAACATAATCGGGGCGAACCGGGATTCGAACCCACAATCATAGGTTTCTGGCTTGCCCAAGGGACCCAACTCTTTAACCACTAGGCTACCCGATCTCCCCTAGAAACGCCTGAAGGTTTCCGTATTAAGTATAAAGCACAGTCATGTTCTATCACAGTAAAGATATATACTGGGCTGACAGTTCAAGGAATCCCCAAGTCCTACTAATCAGCACGGTCGAAGATGCTGGAAAGAGCAATCAAAAATAATAATTCTGGTCTCCCAAAAGTTATTTAATTAACACTGAATTTCAAGATACAAGTTATATCAGAGAGCTACTGGGCATGAAATTGTTTCCTTACCTACATCTGACAGTCAAGTTTTGTGAGTCAGAACCACATGTGACATAAATTAGATCCACGCCACCCATACTAATACACACAGCAGGCATGGGTTCATAAAGGGTCACTAGGCAACGCAGTCAGGTTGATAGTTTTCAGTGTTCTCATACCAGAGAGACATTCACTAAAGCTTCTACTTATTGGCCAAAATAAAGACACATCACCATCGTTAACCAATCATCAACCTTGTCACATCATTTGAGTAAGTGAGTGAGTGAGTGAGTATGGTTTTACGCCGCTTTTAGCAATATTCCAGCAATATCACGGCGGGGGACACCAGAAATGGGCTTCACACATTGTACCCATGTCGAGAATCGAACCCGGGTCTTCGGCGTGATGAGCGAACGCTTTAACCACTAGGCTACCCGACCGCCCCTCGTGTGAGTAAGTACACAGGACTTGCTGATGGATTCACAATCTCACCAAACAGCTGTAAACTAGTGACATATTGCGGTATGGTTATCAACATATAACACAAATGTCAAGGGAAATAGCATTTTGTAGATAGATTCATCAAGCAGGCTAATTAGATATGACCAGGGATTTGGAGTGTGAGTGAGAACCAATCTCATTAAAATCAGATCTTTGTTCTCGCTACCGCCAAGGCCAGGCGTTTTATATTTATCGGATTACAGACCCGCCAACTCCAATTTTTAAGAAAATGTAAAAAATAATAATAATCAGATTTCCATATTTTTTTTTCGCAAATAACCGCGTAATCAGTTATTTTATTTGTTATCATCACCTTTTAATAAAAAACATGAATTAACCGTTGTAAACTAGCAAAGTGTTACATAATCAATCTTTGTTGATCTCTAAGCCATGAATAGCCTCCCTTGACAATTGTCCGTGTTGGTAGAATTTTTATTTTTACAAGGGGCTTTGTCGGCCCAAATGGCGGTCTTTTGAGCACAGAATAAGTTCATAAAGTATGCCAGAGGCATTCTGCATTAAAAAAAAAATGCATCTGGCTTCTTCTTTTTTTTCCTCCTCCAACCCTGGACTTTGGGCTGAAGAATCTGTAATCCTAAAACTAAAAAAAAGCCTGGCCTAAACAAACATCAAAAGCCATACAATTACAGGTCACATCGAGTGACATTTCATCCAACCAATCACAGTGTCACTTACCAGACAGGGAAAAGTGACAGGTGGAATTTGTTTTCTAATCATGCCACCTCAAAAAGGTTAACATGGGGAATTCCGAACGGCACTTACTTCCTTCAAAATCATCATCTGTTTCTCACTTCAGTAGGATAAACATTTCAAACGGAAAGTCCCTGGGAAGAACAGCCATACAATCTTGGACATGTATTAGTTTTCAATTTTTGGAGAACTTTGTCAAAATATTTTCAAAGCATTGTCTGGTATAAACATAATACTTGCCAGTTTGAAACTTATGCTATAAAGCTCGAGTAAGCTGCTTTCTGATTGGCTAATGTCCACTCCTGTTAGTCATTTTATTGGTCAGTCAAAGTTTGCAAAGTGTCATTCTGACATGACCCGTAATGAGATGACCTCTTTGTTTAGTGCTAATGAGAATAAGATCTGATGTTAACGAGAACAAGAACCAAATAATATTTCTGACAAATTAATTACAGTCTGCAAATTTCTGGACCAAGGTTTGATGGCATATACAAAGCTTCATGACAAAAGGACACACATTCAGCCAAGACACACCAAACCTTATTAGTCAACTGTTATAACATGCTAGGGGGGAGCAATGAACCAAAAGATATTTTCAATATGATGTGTTCTTGTTGAGTATTGTTCACCTTCGTTGACCTTGTGACCTTCAGATGTAGATGGACAGACAGGATATCACATAATCTTAGCAGATCTTTGGGTGAGCTGAACATCAACTATCTAAAAGTCACCTAGCACACCAGAACTGTTTAATGGCAGAGATAATCTACCTGTCTTCAGCTATCTTCCTCTTCTTGCCACTGTTATCAGGGGTGTTGGCTGGGGATCGATTGTCCAAGCAGGGATGCACAAGGTCAGGGGGGTTGGGCTGAAACACAAAACCCTGATATGAGTGGGGGAAGTGGGGGTGTGAGCAATCTCATTAAAATCAGACCTTAGTTCTCGCTACCGCTAAACAAAGATCTGAGGACATCCCACTTGGGGTCACGTCAGAACGACCTTTCATCCGACCAATCAGTGCATCGCTTACCAGATTATGAAAGTGACAGTCGGAATGTGATTACTAATCATGCAATCTCGAAAACTTTAACATGGGGTATTCCGAACGATAGTTACGGGTTTGAATCCTTACAATCTAGACCATTCCAGAATGTTTTTTTTGTTCAGGTTTCAAATTTGTAATGGAGAATTTGTCAAAATTTGTTCCAAAGCGTAGTCGCCAATTTGAAATTTGTGCCGTAAAGATGCTTTCTGACTGGTCATTCCATTGGTCAGTCAAAGTTTGCGCAAGGTTGGTCTGACGTGACCCGTAATGGGATGTCCTCAGATCTTTGTTTACCGGTAGCGAGAAATAAGATCGGATTTTAATGAGAATGGGGAGTGAGTGAGTGAGTTAGGGTTAACGCCACTGAGCTGTGTAAGTGCATTAGTTCTATCCCAGGATGTCAGTTTAACGTAGGAGAATGCACAGACAGAGTACAATCATGCAGGGGAAAGTTGGGGTTCAAATCAACGAGAAGCAGATCCTATCCTGGGTAAGGAACACAACTCTGCATGCACCTTGATGTCATTACGAGACCAACAGGGTGCCATTGTACAAAGCGATCTTAGCACTAGCCTCAGCACTCCCATACCTTAAGACAGACTTACGACAGTCATAGCACCAAGGTTGTTATGTACGTTGTCACAGATTTGTGAGGATTTTACAAGACAGTGTCTTGTCAATCAGACAGCAAGATTCAATTTTCCACTGTTCCTCTGTTAAAACTGCAGAGCCCAACACATGCCCAGTACAGCCAAATGACTTAGAAGACTTTATTAGAGACTCTATAGAAGCACTGATGAAGTGTCGCACCTGTGGATGGTCTGCTGGCTCCTGCTTGACCACAAGGTCGATGGGACTGGTCTGGTGGTCGGTCTGGTGGTCTGTCTGGGAGGGGAGGGTCTTGGCCGCAGCAATGGAGGAAAGAGTCTGGGTGACCCTGCAAATTTTACATCGTAACATGATAATCATTTCTGACAGTATTGAAAGATTGCAAGTTTATTAAATTGGTCCCTGGAAGCAATGGCACCATACCTATTCCTATGTTCATATTGAGTATATTGATCAATGGTGATCAGGTAGAAAAATGTATTTGTTGCCTGAAATCGTCTTAACAACTTCTAGGACATAGCGCTGTAGCAAAGTCTTATGTTTATCAAATAATACATAAATTTGGGACCAGATTTTTCTCATTGCACATTAAAAATTTTGAAATCATGAAATGACAAATCAATACAAAGACCATTAGTCTGAAAAATCCATTTTCCAGAAAATTACTGATATACAACATAAATCTACAATTACAGAGTCCATCATTCAGTAACATTGTCATGTGGCAGAGTGAGTGAGTGAGTGAGTGAGTGAGTGAGTGAGTGAGTGAGTGAGTGAGTTGGGTTTAGCGCCGCTTTTATTAGTTTTAACATTAGTCCAGTTATATCACGGCGTGTCAGCTAAATGTGGGAGGAAAGCCCGAAGTGATGCAGGTCTCGGACGTTTACCACTTCAGTGAAACCCACGAGCACGGGTATGGTGCTGACAAACCTAGAAACATAATCAGGGCGAACCACGATTCAAACCCAATCATGTGGCAGAAGACTGTTGTAAATATATTTGGAGTAATTGTCAGGTGGCAGCAGAATGATTGAAGTGGTAGTAAACTGTCAAGTATTTTCAACAGTAGTGAGCTTAACAGAGTTATCACCCTTGTAAACATGAACATGATGAACATGGCAGGCTTGATCATTCGAGAAGTTTCAACATGGGACAGTTTCTAGAAGGCAGCATTAGAAATTGGTACTAGTCCTGTAGTCCTTGCCAAACTGCCCAATAGTTAAGGTATCCTAAGGACTAGTAGATATTTGCCATTTTTAAGGATTTTGCTATATGTTATCATTATAAGGACTTGTGGACTAAACCTGTTAGTTTCTATTGCTGTAAGGCCTGACTTGTGTCGTATCTACTTGCCAGCACTACTCTGGATTCAAGAACAAGGATGGCCTGTTTCCAAGACAACAGTGACAATATTCTGAATATCCATGAGTGCAATGTCATTAATTCTAGGGCCTGCTACTTACTACTGCTGCCACTCATTTAACCCATTGTATTCAACTGTTTGATTGTAAACCTGAAACTGTTTCAATATAATTTATTGTTAACTCACTGACCTTGTGCTGTCATTTTCTGATTTAACAATTCAGTTTTGTACATACTAATTTCCGGGTTAACTTCTGCATTTCAATTTGGAAATCACTATGTAACAACATTAGTTAGTTTTACTGGAAAATTGACAATTTTACTGGGTACAGTACCATCAGGATTAACGAGGTTTCACTGAATGAAAAATTTCATCACAAGTCAGTCCCATAGACGTTCCGAAAGTGGATGAGTGTAGGGCTCGGACGGGTAACTCGGGTACTCGGGTCGGGAGTAGGACACGGGTACCCACAGTACTACTCGGACCCGTGGTTAGTCACGTGATATGTTTAATAGCAAAAATTTAGATATCTAGAACTTCCACGGTTGCACTATAGATATCTAGAACTTCCACGGTTGCACTATAAGTGTTCGCATTTCTTTCTGACCATGCACACATTCCTTTTGACTTAAACCTTTTGGTTTAAACAGAGATAAAACGTCATGTAGTACACTTCAGTGTATGCATGACCAGATCGTTTTATTTGAGTATCTAAATACGTCTTGCCAGGGCTATTCCCCTATTGAACATTTGTACATCTCTTTGAGACCAACAGCGGGTACCAATTTTGGTAAAAAATACAGAATTGAAAGATCTTTAATTTCGTTGTTTGTCTGTGTCAGTATTTTACCCTTATAGATGTCTCTTACAAATAATACTACATGCACATATTAATTTACATATCTCCGTTTTTGTGATAACGCAGCTCTACATTAACGACGAGTAAAAAAAATCGTCGATGCCATTGTTCTAAACAGGAGTACCGGTAATCAGCAGGTAAAGTTTGAAAATAAAATATAAACATGCGCTTTGTGTTTCAAATATTCACTTATAATATATTTTTCGGTGATAAAGATGATATATTTAATGTTTATTACCACTTCTTTGTTTCAGCTACTCATTTGTAAAATTAACTTGAGATACTTTTTCGCAAAACGTGTTCAATCAATCAGTTTTTTCGGTAATAAGGCCTCAGGCCCATGTACAGATATATACAATTTAGTTTCACATCAAGTGCTGCATGAAATAATATTTACAGGTAAGAAGAACGAAAAAAAATAGCATTTTTAACATAATTGGCTAAGTTCTCAAGGCGGTTTACACCAGAAGAGTTTAACATTCTAACCAGTGTGTCTTTACAATTATTACCAGTAATGAAACGTGTTTGTTGTTATTGTGTCTATTATGCTAATGGTCATGACAGGACACCAGTTCAATAATTGATATATCCAGCTTTTGAATGAAAATAATACCATAATTCTGAAGGAAATATATACAAAGATCCTATTGATCATGTTGATTACATCCAGTTTTTAACTAATCATTGTTTTTAGAAGTAACATAATTTGGCATAACACAACTGCCACAGGCTAATTTGCATTTCACAAGACAGAACTTTTCTCGTTTTAAAAAAAAAGCTGACATCAGAACAGACTGGCGCTTTACCATGTTTACATACTGTTTGGCAACTGAGAAATGGATGATAATATACATTTATACATCAAAGTGACCGTATCACCACCTCTCCATATGACCACCTCTCCGTATGTTTTCAATGACATGCAATGTAAACAAAGGAAAACTATGCACATGGAAATGGTTTTTCACATTTTGAGATATTTTCTCATGGAAAGTTAACCGTGACATATGTTTATCTAGATGTGTAGACTTGTTAAAAATGAAACAGAAGAAAATATTGCTGTGAATAATAAGAGTTGGGGCTGTATGTGGTAAAGCGGGCCATGTGGAACGGGGAATATGGAATTAGTAAGTATCGGAGGGACACACGATTTTGAAAAAAATTAATGTAAACATTATAGAATGAAGTTTTATTTGAAATTAATAAAATGGATCACAAACGTAAGACCAGATATACAATGAACACTTACAGAGTGTAAGAACAGGGTTAAATTAATAGTGTAATTCAATACGGATTTGTTGATATTCTATTTCCAATGACGGATCATGAGTCTTATACTGACAGCCTGAAACGATTCTAATGAGTGAGTGAGTGAGTGAGTGAGTGAGTGAGTGAGTGAGTGAGTGAGTGAGTGAGTGAGTATGGTTTTACGCCGCTTTTAGCAATATTCCAGCAATATCACGACGGGGGACACCAGAAATGGGCTTCACACATTGTAATCATGTCGGGAATCGAACCCAGGTCTTGGGCGTGATGAGCGAACGCTTTAACCACTAGGCTACCCGACCGCCCATAATTCTAAAGAAAAGTCTGTGCGTATTATCATGATTATACACGAGAGATATATTTTCCAGGATTTAAATGCTCCAAATTAGGGGTGCATATTATACCATGTATACAGTGTTTACTGTACACAAATAAATATGGTAAGTAAGCTTTGTGTACCGGTAGATTGATCAGTCAGAGGGGGCGCTTATCATGCTCATTGGGATTGTTCATATGCCAAAATATATCCAAATATTGCTGTGGGTGCTTTTTAGAGCAGGGCACCAATAACTTCTTCAAATATGGTACATTCCAATTTGGGGAATGAATATATCTATAACATGCCATAAATGTATTAAGCTGGTGAAAGACATTTTTCAGTCAGAACCAAGTTAAGTGGGTTGTATAACTTACAACTCTGAATAATGTTTTTGTTTGTTTGTTTGTTTGTTGTTTAACACCTCACTCAGCAATATTCCAGCTATATGACGACAGTCTGTAAAAAATCAAGTCTGGACCAGACAATCCAGTGATTGACATAATGAATCAATCTGCACAATTTGGATACAATGACATGCGAGTCTGGCCACCCGATCCCACTAGTCACCTCTTATGGCAAGCATGGGTTTTTCTTTTGAAAAAATGATAATGTCATCCTCGGTGGGATCAAGCATGTCAAGTTTCAGCTTCCAAGGTCTAAGGTCCTAAATGGCTGAAATTACCAATGCGACAGTAATTTTCACTCACAAAGGTTATCGAAGAGAAGCTAATTAAAGACGCTGACAATGCAAACAGGCCATGACATCAACTTGCTAGACTTTCAGCCAGGTGAGCTAATAATTGAGCTCGGTATTTGGCATCTCTTGTTGATGCTAATAAACACATAACTAATCATGAACACATCCAATTTGGTTGTCTCAAAAAGTGGGTGCTAAGTCAAGTGCATATCACTGAAACTGGACCACCTACCGCTCTGCTTTATCATCTGTGTCCTCAACAGTTTCCGCTACAAAGTCTTCATCCTCCGCTCGGTCCTCTGCCTTTACTTCTGCTATGGTGAGAGGACTGTCACTTACACTATTATTGCTTCTCTCGCTGTCATTTTCATTCACAAATCTTGATATGTCCATTTTAGCACTTGCCGACAGCATGCTAGGGCTTGGTGTCCAAGGTCGATCTTGCATAGAAGTCAGTGGCAGAAAGTTTAGACTAGAGTTACCTCTCCTTGATTCAGGGATCCCATCCTTTGATGGCACATCACGACTAGAGCTTTTATCACAGATAGAATCGGAGTCATTTACCTCATCTTTTTTGCTCAGTTCTAAAGGAGCAGAATCGTCTCCCTTTGAATAATCACCCACACTGAAATGATCAAACGGCTTGTGTTCGCTTTCAACGTCACTTCCCACATTGGACACATCAGACATGTAATCATCGTCTTCATCACAATTTTCATCCTCATCATCATCCTCATCATCGTCATCTTCATCATTGGCAAGTTCAATGCTATAGTCATTTTCTGATGATTTTTGTTGCGAAGCCAATGCTTCCACTCGGAGACCTATTGGACGATTGACAACTTCTTTGATGCTGAAGTTTTCTTTCGTTCCTTTGTCAATCTCCAAACAGACCAGTCCAACCACTTCAACGGTGTGCTGAAAGCTGAGGTACTGCATACATATCCGTCGAATGGACTTGATAATTTGAGGAAAGAAATTGTGTGGTGTGCCATCATCGTCGTCGCCAAGACTGGTGCCTCTCCTAAAAAAAATCATAATTCATAAACATTTAATATATAAGGTGACCACATTAAGCAGAACCACAATCATATGACGCATCCTGAAAATCAAGTCTAGATCATATAACCCAGAGGTTGCTAGCATGAGGTGAGCGGAAATGGGGTTTAACGCTGTGTCCAAAATTATTGCACTTATATAGCGGCGTGCATGCACGTGTATGTGGTTGCTTGTCCGGACTGATGCAATTTTATCGTGCTAGGCCCCTAAATACCATGCCGCAGTTTAACATGAATACACCACTCAGACACAGCATACTGACTCTGAGCCGACCAGTCCTTTTTTTATCCCCTTAATTACAAGTGCCAGACAGGATAACAACAAGTACCATCTTTTAACGTCTTATGGTATGACACGGCTGGGGATTGAACCCGTGACTTTCCGCTCTCCAGGCAGACGCTCTACCACGAGGGCAGTCGGTTGATAGCATGAGGTACAACACATGACATCAATGTACAATGACACATAATCAGCCCTGCCACAATTGCAAGCACAGCCAAAGGAAGCCATTCAGCAATACCAAAGAACAGGAAAACTTCAAATAGAACGAGTCCTCAAAACACTACAATGGCTTCTTTTCCCATATGACTTGGATTGAAAATATCCCACTGATCCTAGCACTCAACACGCTTGTTAAACAAATATTTAAGCCTCATTTGAGCAAAAAGCAATGCTCAGAATGAGCACTCTGTAACTACTTCAATGGTAAGCATGTGGTTCAGGGAACTCATTCTCCCCTGACAGTTATATTAACATACGGTATTAGACGTAATAAGTGCCCCGCTCTAATAAGCGCCCACGGCGATATTTGCTAATATATTGGCTAGTGAACAATCCCAATTGGCACCCCTTCCGATTGATCAATGTACACAAGACTTATTTTTCCGCGAATAATACACACTCGTGTGTTATATGCACCCATAATTATGGGCAATTAATACATAAACATTTCAGGCTGTCAGCATAAACCACGAAATTTATCTCTCAACTCCGCTTTTTTTTTCACCAAAATAATATTCTAATAAGAGCCCCCTATTTCTAATTTTGAGAGCGCCCTGGGCGCTTATTACGTCGAATACGGTATGTCAATTTAGTGTGGACAAGAGAAAATCCATAGTGCACATCTATCTTAACAGTGATGTCTTAACAGGCTAATCTAGTGTCTGTGGAAAATTCCAGCTTTATGACAGCAGCCTGTAAATATTCGAGGCTGGACCACACAATCCAGTGATATCAGCAACGATCTGTTAGGTGTGAGTGAGTTGGGTGTGATGCCGCTTTTAACAGTATTCCAGTTACATCACGGCGTATCAGCTTAATGTTGGAGGAAAGCCCGAAGTGATGCAGGTCTCAGACGTTTACCACTTCGGTGAAACCCACGAGCATGGGTATGGTGCTGACAAACCTTGAAGCATAATCGGGGCGAACTGGGTTTCGAACCCATGATCATAGGTTTCTGGCATGCCCAAGGGACACAACTCTCAACTCAAGTACAGTTTCGACTAATATACAATTTCAAGACTAGTTGATTGGTTGGTTGGTTTGTTGTTTAACACCGCACTCGGCAATATTCCAGCTATCAGGCTATATGACGGCTTTAAGACTCGTGCTATGACTTGTACATATTATGATAGTTATTTGATAAAAGATAATTTCAAATGTTTTTGGCTACCTACAATATTGGCTTGACTTCTTGATTTTACCACTGGCTACTTGGTAAAAATTTAAACTTTGAGGCCTGCCACCTGCCCTACTGTCTGGTATATAAATTTATGACTACTTATGCATTCACTGTTACGTAGATTCTCAAGTAATTGCTTGCATTATTTTAACTGAAGACACGAGGTGTCTCTTATTTTTCTATTTTTTCCTCATACTGTCATCGGCGATCCATTATTGTTGGTGGATCAAGGGAAGTAACTCTATCTTTTGTAACCTACGTGTTCATTGGTCAGGTAACAATGAAGATGGGCAGGCAACTTTTATTGGTCACCTGCCAACTGTCTTGGTGGGTTTTAAAATTATTTCAAACACTAACCAATCATCTTGTTAAATTTTCCAAATGTAACTATGTTCCTTATCTTATGTTTTCAAGAAATCAATAAATCATATAAACTATAACCATGGTGACCGTCCTGTACTTGTGGTACATAATGTAGTAGTGAGTGAGTGAATATGGTTTTACGCTGCTTTTAGAAATATTCCAGCAATATCACGACGTGGGACACCAGAATTGGGCTTCACTCATTTTACCCATGTCAGGAATCAAACCCGGGTCTTTGCCGTGACAAGCGAACACTTTAACCACAAGGCGACCCAACCTCCCCACATAATGTAGCAACTTGGTCATGCTTGTAATAAACAAATCATTGGATCAGATGGCCGTCATTATTCAATGTTTGAGTTCACTTCAACAGAAAACCACTGGCTGCCATAGTCCAAGCCTTGGAGGACAACAATAATTCGATATTGATGATATGGCAGAAAACCAAGTCTTGTGGACAATATTTCTATAAAGGACATGTCTTGATACTGATTGTAACACCGAGACGTTGTGAGTTCTTTTGTATAATAACCTCTTTTTTTACACAACAATGTAAAATAATAAATTTCATTTTGCATTAATCATGTTAATAATATCATTTCCTGAAATCACAGACCGAAAAATTGAGCTGCTACAATGAGTAAAACCCCACTCAGTCACCCTTACCGAGTCAGGTCATGTCTTAAATAATTTAATATTGTGTGAACTCAACCTCTAAAACAATCTGTGTTCATGACAATCATACAGTGTCTTGATACTTACTGCACTGTAGACAACAGTGTGACTATAGATAGACCATCCTCACCGGTCCATTTTTAGCCTACTGGTCTAGACACTGTAATTTGTGCTGTGTGTGACACTGTGACATGTTCCCAATTAAATCAGGCTAATAATTAACTGTTAGATTGATCTAGATCATAACATGCAAGAGAACAGACAAAGTGATGACTGAATGTCATTAATTGAAGTTGCTGAGATAGCCAATTAACCATAGCCTAGTAACCTTTGACTGTTCAGCAGTCTCTCTGCTTAGATGTTTGAAAGAAGAATACTGAAATAATCACCTATCCTGTTTATTGGCTTCATGTCCCTATTGGCTTCTACGTGTTGTGACAGCATCATCCCTTTGTTGCCAACGCCTACCAATGTTATCCCACTCATGTATGCAATTGTGGTTACTGTTAATCCTCTACTGTTAATCCTCCACCTACTATATATATTCTGTACTATGTCCCTCATTCAGTCTTGCTTGACAACGGTATAAGGATCTATACCGAAACGTCGCTTTTCACAGTATTAAAGAAGTTGTTATCCATAACATTGTGTCTACCTTGTCATCCGTCAACTTCTAAGTAATGCCTATCAAACAATTTAATTTACTGAAATTTGCTTGAAAATAAAGGCTGAACACTGTTGGTTGGTTTGTTGGTTTGTTTAACGCCGCACTCGACAATATTTCAGCTATATGACGGCAGTGTGTAAATAATCGAGTATGGACCAGATAATCCAGTGATTGATATCATGAGCATCAATCCACGCAATTGACACTGTTGAACAGGTTATACCACAGCATGTCAATGCCCTTTGTTTTTCTCATGGGGATCAAGTTTGATTATGTTGATGTAAAATAGTTTTACATGACAGCGCATTTTAGGATTGTCAATTCGAAATTGGAGCTGTTACATTGAGTAAGTTTCGTTCATGACAGCGATGGAGATTTCAAATGTCAGGGCAACAACAAAAATCAAATTGTCAATTTATCTACATTGTCTCCTTTTACAAAACATGTTTTAAATCCTTAACTGTTTCAATCTGTGCAATAGCCAAACAAAATTAAAGCATGATTATTAAAGAAAGATTTAAATCTAAATGGACAAATTAGTTGACATCAATTATTCCTCCTTCGAATTAAATATTCACGAAATAAACGAAAGAAAATATTGTCATTCGACTTCTGTTATCATCACAAATGTCTCCAATGAAGAATGTATAGGACTGTTTCATCTAACGCCACATGAGCGAGACAGTGCGATAACGTTATGACATTTATAACCCAAATAGACTCCAGACATCTCATAATCCCCGACACCCCACGTGACTGAGTCTTATCGTACAATGCTGTGTGGCAGGTGGCATGCTTTTGTTCGACCCGACTGCATCAAACTCGCCATCAACAAACGCCCTGGGTGAAAACAAGCAGTGAACGACTATCTAAATATAAGTAAAAACCATGGACAGGATTTCGTACACAATGAACACACATGTCGCTCGCAAAACAACATTTTCAAAACCGAGCAAGCCCTGTGACCCGAGCTGCCATCTTGACCCCCGAGATTGCGTGCCAAATGTGACTGTTTTATATGCTATTTTCAAAACAAACCCACGACAACTAAATTAACTAATGATGCGCGGCAAAAATTGTCTACTTTTAGGAGGAAGAAATATATGCTATGTATAGACTCGTGTCGGAGCCATTTCATCACTTACCCACATTCGACACAATGCGAATCGTGAGCCTCCATTAAATGCCACGCGAGGCTGCAATCTTTCAAGCCGATTCGGCTCTTCAACTTCTTCCAACGGTCGTAAGAATTGCCGAGGTAAACTCTCCGTGCATCCCGCCATTTTGTTGCTTCTTGTTGTCTCCTTCTTTTTTCGTGGAGAGGTTTTCTTGGCCTGCCAACTCGCGGAAACTGGGTTTGTTCAGACGGTTTGCCATCCTCCATGGCAGCCATTTTTGTTGGCAATGTTTGGGCTGACTGACCCAGTTCGGGATAACGGGCGCTGTGGGCATGCGCCTGTACCCCTCTTGTGTCGGGAGCGTCACGAATGAGTAACTTTACTAATCCTTGTCATTTTGACTGACATGTGTCAATGGCCTGACACTCGCGCGTTCAGTGGTGTGTGTGAGGATGTGACACTTCATCGCTTGGTGACATCAAAACTTGCGACTGTCATCGAATACCTGTGCGGTGAATTTGACAAAAATGGCCCGTTGACATAAGTGGTGACTTGTTGACATTACCTCTACTGTCATGTGATGTGAATGTACGAGGCAAAGAATAAAAATTACGCATTATTTACACCGAAAAGACGCGATAGCCACTTCCGATATTGAGCTAAAGTTATAAATATTGTCACGAATTCGTGATAATTATTCTGATAAGTTTCCTGATAACTTAACTGATAAAAGATGACACCACTTGAAACATCTTTGTAAACATTGCATAACGTATTGGCAAAGGGATTTTCGTTATGAGGTTGTTATCACCCCCGACTGATATCGGCGTATGTCTATATCAAGTGCTGTCAATCAACCACGTGGACGGTAAACGAGTCTGTTGACATGAGTGGACTGCATGGTATGATCAGATGGTATGTCGACTTGACCAATCCCAAGCAAGCTTTCTGATTGGTAATACAGAAAGTGGCTACTTGTTACAAATGGTAAATAATATTCAAAACTGGGAACTAAGGAGGACCTTGATGAAATTATTATGACATTAGAAGAAAATATTGTAAAAAAGGGCGTTATCCTGATCGATACTGTGAAACTTGATTAATCGGGACGAGTTAGCCCGGAACGAGAGCATGCACCAACCCTGCTATACAAAGTGACATTAAAATGATATACTCGTTATTTAACAATCCCGATTTTTTTAATTCGTACGATTTCACAAATAAAACGTGCGGAATAACAAAGTTCACGTTCAAACAGAATGATATAAAAGTGCAGTCGCTTATGGCACTTTCTTGGCTTTTGACCGCCATGCACCTATACCACTAATTACGTATTATATTACAGAAGATGAGAAAAAGATAATTACAAGGAAACATTTGAAGTAGGTTTGCTGTGACGAACAAAAAGTAGCTGTAATTACTAACAACGGAATTGTGATCTTCGGAAAAACCTTTGAGCGGAAAGAATTAAAATTGTATTACCTAAAATGTCCTCGATAATTCTTTCTTTGACAAGCGCAATTTCCGCTGCTCGGTATTTTTGCGCTTTGTCATTATATTTAGTAAAAAGTGCATTTCAAATGTTGAACAGTCGAACCGCTTCAGACAAACTGTCTGTCAGCTTCGTATTGGGGAGCTCGACACGAGGATCAGACATGATTGACATCTCCGGTTGAAACCGATACCTATGTCTGTGACAGGAGCTACAGGGGAGGTGGATGTGGGAAAATGAGATAGACATAACTTTTTTTCATCCCCTGATCACTGACATGCTTATTACTAATTTACTTATCAACATTATGTATACATCTTGGTGATTCTGTGATAGTGAGTGAGTAATGGTTTTACGCCGCTTTTAGCAATATTCCAGCAATATCACAGCGGGGGATACCAGAAATGGGCTTCACACAATGTCGGGAATCGAACCCGGGTCTTCGGCGTGACGAGCGAACGCTTTAACCACTAGGCTACCCGACCGCCCCTGATTCTGTGATAGAAAAGTATCCTCATACTTCCTTTTTGTAAACATGAAACAAAATGAATCATTATGTAATTTAGGGATACTGTTTTGACGATGGTCACGTGTGTGTGCGCGCGCATGTTGGGTGGAGAGGTCTATAATACACAACAAATACAGTCGCCTAAACATGATGTCACCACCCACATCGCTGGGGTTCACTACGACGCATTATAACTGCTAATACAAACTTTAAGAATTAATTAATACATTTTTATCCAAATTATAAAATTTACAGGAGACATTTTGTTGCATTGAAACAAACTGTTCAAGGCATATATGTGTAGAATAACTGTTGATTGATGTGATTCAAACGTAGCATGAGTGTTAAGGAGAACTATACGCATATATATCTGAAAAATCTTGTATGGATAAAGGAGTTTTGACAAGCACAAATATCTGGATACATGGTGTATCATGACAAGGTAGACACAATTTTATGGATAACAACTTTTTTAATACTGTGAAAAGCTTTTCGAATTGTGTCTACCTTGTCATCCGTCTACTTCTAAGTAATGCCTATCAAACAATTTATGGTGTATCATAGTGTATCATATTTAGAGCCCGCTGATTAGGACGTACTGTCCTTTTCTATGCATTGGTGTTGTCTTAACTAATCCCCTTCTCCACTGTTTGACAACAGACAAATGGTAAATAACCGCTAATGGGCCGGCACTCTAAGTGATTCTGGGGGCGGTCGGGTAGCCTAGTGGTTAAAGCGTTAGCTCGTCACGCCGAAGACCCGGGTTCGAATCCCGACCATACAGAAAGTATAAGTGCATAGCACGTTGCGATTTTCTTCATCTGTTGTACTTGGGGACAATAAAATGATGTGAGGTGCGCGGTGATGACACTCTAATGGTTATTTACTTTGGCCTAACGTCCATTTAAAACACTATTAATGTATACAACACTGTATTTCTCTTTGTCATAGGCATTTTCAACGAACAACCACAGTACCGCCTCCACGAAACATAGCCCAAACTATCATGAAACCCCACTAGTTAATCCGGGATCTATGGAAGCGTGTTAGTGCCACATTGTAAAATTAAAATACCAGTTACTACTCATGCACATGTTCTACTTTCATCTATTTATCGGTGGCTGAGTGGGTTAGATCGCTGACTTTGTGTGCTGGCGATTAGGTGTCCCACTCTGACAGTTCGGGTTCGAATCCCGGATGGGACTCAACCCCTAAAAAGTACGAGAATAGGTTCTTTACTAAGAAAGTGTTATCGCAAATATAACATTTGTTATATTTATATTACAATCGTGCGTATCGTTGCTCAGACGTACAGTGATATTATCGTGTGCATTTGTGACCCTTGTTGCATACAGATGTTTTCAAACATTTATATTTTAGATAAAGGTGATAACTTAATTAGTGTTAATTTATATAATTTTTGGGAGCATGTTCGTCGTTTATTTTTATTTAGCCTTTTCCATATTTTTACAACACACATCAAGATCATTTCAAACTGTCAATAAAACTGTCAGTGCTAAAAAATAAACATAAACTGCAGAATTGTACCTTCAGTGCTTCAGAGGATGATTACGAGCATTGGTTTGATATAGTATTAGAGTTTGTTTCTCACCCGTTTCTATTGACCTTAAACCTCTCAATCCTAATTTCTATAATGCGGAAATCATGAGAATCGACAGATTCGAGAGATTTCTCAGACTTAAACCATGTTAAGGTTGATAGGCCTATATAATTTCGCTAACATATTGCATAACCTCATCTTCCCGAGGCAAGGGAGTTAATTCACTGACTATATAAAAGTCCAGTTTCCCTTGCTTCGGGAAGATAGCATAACCTATAGTTGCGTCAATTTTACTTGCACAAAATGGCCAGTGACTTCAGAATGGGTTGTGACTTTCTGGCTCAGTTTCAACTGCAACAACAGTTTTGAACAATTTGAAAACTAAAAGACGATTTTGTTGTTTGGAGAACATTTTTTACTCTCCTCACCTACACGTTTTCGTTCGATGAGGTTACACTGAACAACAATAATGGTTTAGTCTAGATTTGACCTTGTGCTAGTTTCTGGTCAGTAACTTGAACACATATTAATAAAGAGTTACTACATTTATATATATGTTTAGGTAGCACCTCAATAAAGACATGTCAAGATTGAAAACATTATTAATTAAGCCAGAGGTTATGATATATAGAAAACTGTCCCGGAACTGTTGTTGATTACTCGAGTAAATATGGTTACCAAAGTCGATAATTCAATAGTAGATATTACTAGATATTCTTTTTCAATAGATGTAATTAAGTATGATCTACGTAGATGTAAGTATCAACTAAATGTTATTAAAATCAGATCTTAGCTCTCGAAACCGCTGAACACAGATCTGAGGTCATCCAATTTTAAGGATCACGCTAGAACGACCTTTCATCCGACCAATCAGAACGTCGCTTACCAGATCAGGAAAGTGACATTCGGAATGTGTTTTCTTAGAAAAAGGTTAACACGGGGTATTCCGAACGACAGATACGCCCCGTACGACTGATTCCGGAAGTACTGACATACAATCTCAATCATATATTAGACATTCCAGAATGTTCCTTTGTTCAGTTTTTAGTTTTTTAATCGAGATTTTTGTCAACATATTTTTCAAGCGTAGTCATAAATGGAAGTCGCCAGTTTGAAACTAGTGCCATCGGGTCGAGAAAGCTGCTTTCTGATTGGCTAATGTCGACTTCTTGTTAGTTATTTCATTGGTTTATCAAAATTCACGAAAGGTCCTCAGACTTTGTGTTTAACGGTAGCGAGAGCTAGGATCTGATTTTAATTAGATTGGCAGAGTAACATCTAGTCTCTGGAATGAACATATTTCACAGATAAAAACTGTTGTTAAATCAAAGTTATGATCTATAACAAAAAGGAGTCCAGAGACCATCGTCATTTTCAGATACTGCAATAATATAGACTTGCCAAATATTATAGATTTGTATGGACTGTATTGGATATATTTGTTTTTAAAGTCTGTATGTTTGTTTGCTGTTTAACGCCGCACTCAGCAACTGACATTCCAGCTGTATGACGTCGGTCTGTAAATAAAAGAGTTTGGAACAGACAATCCAGTGATTGACATCATGAACATCGACCCACGCAATTGGGATACGATGACATGCATCAACCAAGTCAGTGAGACTGACCACCTGATCCCCTCAGTTGCCTCTTACGACAAGCACAGTATGGGTTGCTGAAAACTTATTCTACCACGGATCTTTACGAGTCGGGACAGACTATGAGATTGGTGTCGTTTCCGTAAATGATATAGCTTATAGAATTTGGCACTAATATGCTTCCATATATATTGGAATCTCTGTTTTCTGGATGCTTATAGTTTGGGAGTGTACATGTACCGGTAACTGAAGCGATATTACAACGTATACCTATGATTCGTTAATACGGACATTACACTTGTGACGATACCAGCCGGATTATGGAGGTTTTACTGTTGTTATAAGACGTAAAATTATTTCCACCACCACCACCACCACCATCCACCACCCCAAAAGAGCTAGACTAGACTTTCAAAATTCTCTAAGGAAATAATTATTGGTTTAAATCCTCATTTTTAGATTATATAAATAATAAGAACAAGATGTCCCAACCAAAAGATTGGCTTCCTTAGACTGTCCGCTTAATTAGACTTGCCTAGTATAAGGATAGAATTACTATACACCCATGGACTTATCATTCAGTACAGCCTTGGAGCAAGGCTACTGGTACTTACATTTCTGTTATTTTCTCCGGACAAAGACTATAATAAATGATACCCATATGTTA